CACTTCTACCAGTGACTCTCAACCGCACACCGACAACGACGCACAGCCAGGCAGCACAAATTTTGGCAACACCACTGCTGCCAACTTCTCACTGTCCTCCGTTTCACTCTTCGGTTCTTCCCAACCGATGACGTCACCGCACGTCATTCTTGCTCCTGGCTACTCGCACAGCTTCAGCGACTTGACGTCTGCCATCTCTCCTGTGGTTCCGGCAGACTGAAAGCCCTGCTTACTCGACTTGGCCTGGACAACCCTGCTTCCGATTTCTCTTCTCAGCTTGTCCCTTCAGCGGTTTATCTGAGATTCACCAGCCATCCAAAGTGGCAGGCCTTTTTCTACCTCGGAGCCACTCGCGCCTCCCTCATGGCACGGGGCCGCAGCCAACTTCGCAAACTACCCCAAGTTCAGCGACATCATCTGGTCAATGCCGAACTGGCAGTCCGGTGGTGGGCACATTTTGACATTTTCCACCACTACACCTCGGTGCCCATTCACACTGTCGTTCCGGCAACGGACCTATTTGCCACTGAACAGTTCTACATCCAGGAACTGCAACCGTCTCTCAATTTTTGCTTCATCGAGAAACATTTCCGGCCACGCACGGGCTTCATACGCCAATTGGACTTCTCCCAATCCCGGCACATGGGCTTCGCCACCATCTGGCGAAAACGCCGCCGACTCCGACTACCCATCGCCCTACAACAGGCCTTCCTGGCCAAACGCGTGGACAACCGCCTGGATTTGTGGCGATTTTTGGGCGATCTTGGCAGCAACACTCTACGACGATTTGATGCGATCCAGTTTACGATTCCGGGGCCTCATTCCACCTGGCCCCTCCAGACCGATGCTTGCACCCTTCCTCGCCTGGCGACTACTGCTAACCTGGTACCGACAACGACAACCACACTCCTCTACCACACACCTCACAGTGGACACACTTGACACCTCTGCCATCACCCGCGTCTACAACGGACGCCGTCGCCGACACAAACCCACACAACGCACCCTGTGGCTCGACGACATACCCGAGATCATTCAGGCCACCCTTGACATGCAGATCTTCTCTGTCGGCCTTCGTTCATTCAGGCAAACACGTGGGGCACCGATGGGATCCCCCGCGTCCCCAGCTCTCTGTTTGATGGTGATCGTGGTCGCCGAACAATGTTGGACCAACACTCACATCACATCGGGACTTCGCTCCGTTGAAGATACTCTCCTACTCCGCTACGTGGACAACAGACTCGTGATCGCAACCCCCAGGTGGCACTCGACTCCGGCAGCCAACATACTGTGCGACGAACACTTCTATGGAGGAGACATCTTCCTGGACACAGAAGCCGCCCTGGACTTCTTGGGGTTCCGACTGAACCTCACAAGCAGCACCATCTCCTTCATCCCCTCGCATGAGAAGCACAACCTGCTCTCCGTCAAGTCAGCCGCACCACTGATGCATAAGGAATCTGGATGTTATTCCGGACGCACGCTGATCAACCGAGTTTCCTTTCCTGAGTTTCAGCGAGGTCAGGGTCTTGCAATGTTGAAGAGGTTGCACCTCCAACACGGTTTCACCTTACAAAGCGAAGAAAAACCGTCCTTTGCGGAACCACACTGGTTTTCTTCTCTGCCTTTGCATCCTGACAGATTTGACCTGATTTTCGCGCCGCAGCTGTTTGACTGTTTGACCAAAATCCGTTACGAGCATGGATACCAACACAGCACGCCAGCTGCTCCAAGACTTCGAACTCATCCTTGGCATTGCCCAACAAGGCATCGCCACCATCCGCGAGTTCCCTGAGAGTCCGCCTGCCGAACCTGATTTGGCACCGGAGCCCACGTTCAACCCCGCCATTGAGGACCTGACCAACTCACCACCAACACCCCTCCTGGCCCCCCTCGAGGACCTCTTTGAGCCACCTCCTGATGCTCCAGATGAACACCTTCCCACTGATCATGACGAACAATTCCCTGATCATTGGGCCCCGCCCACTCCTCCTCCGTCTTCTCCCGACAAAAAACGAGCTCGCCGCACACGTGATTTGGCCTCCTCACGATCTACGGCATCCAAACCTGCTCGTGGACCAAGCGAAGCTACCACATCGACCAGGACTGATGCCTCTACTGAGGCCGAACCTGAAGCCTCGCAGCCTTGGACTGAGGGAGAGATTGAACTCCTCCGTTCCCTTAAGACCAATTCCAAAGCCAAGTATGTGTGGTCAGTCATCGCCACAAGACTTTCTCGCACAATTGATGCTTGCAAGACTCAATGGGCCTTGCACAAGTGATGTCGCCCCAGTTGGGGCTCCGTGTGTGTGAAGCGTCCTGGAGCACGGACGGAAATTCCACATTGCAGGGGGACCAGGCGTCTTGCTGCTGACCTGGTCTAACAAAGCTAGGCAGCAAGACGGGATACCGGAATTGGCCATTCCGGCGTACCTGCCATCCTTTCGTGACCTAATGTGTTTCCTCGGTTTACCACTGTTTGCTTCATGTTCGTTTTCGATGATGTGACATTTGCACTGCAGATTGATTTTTTCATGCCTTTTCAGTACAATCGCGTGTCTGCAAGAGCAGCCTCTCGAGATAAGTGTGTGTGTGTGTGTTTGTGTGTGTGTCTGTTTGTCTGAGTGTGTCTTTTTGTCTGTGTGCGTCTTTGTGTGTTGGCGTGCTTCCGTGTGTGTGGGTGTGTGTTTCTGTTTGTGTGTTTGTGTGTTTGTGTTTGTGTTTCTGTGTGTGTTTGTGTGTGTGTTTGTGTGTGTGAATATGTGTGACTCTGAGTGTCAGTCTGAGTGTGAGAGTGTAAGTGTGAGTGTGTCAGTGTGAGTATGTGTGTGTGTGTCTGTGTGTCTGTGTGTCTGAGTGTCTGCGTGTCTGTGTGTCTGTGTGTCACGTGGTTGTGTGCGTGTGCATGTGTTTGTGTGTGTGTATTTGTGTGTGTGTGTTTCTGTATTTGTGTGTGTGTGCGTTTGTGCGTGCGCGCTTGTTCGCTTGCATGCTCATGTGTTTTGTTGTGTCTGCGTGCTCTATGCGAGTTTGGGTGCTTGAGGTTTGTGCGCGTGCTTTTGCGTGTTGTGTGTGTGTGTGTTCGCGTGCTTGTTTGAATACTGTGCTTGTTTGTTTCTTAGTCTGTCTGTCTGTCTGTCTGTCTGTCTGTCTATCTGTTTCTGTGTGGGCGCATTTTTGCGAGATCGACGGCCGGGTGCTAGGGGCATGCAGCGCAGGTGCTGCTCTGGGGTCGGTCGAGTACTAGGTGGGGTGCTAGCGCAGGGGCTGTTTCGGGGAGCTGGTGATGGTGTGGGCCAATGAAGGCATAATCTGATCATCCATGCAAGACATTTTGCCAGGCTATCCGAAACGTGTTTGTTTTTGCTGGGCAGCAATTTGCTTGGTACCGTGTAGTGTCGGGCGACCTCGCTTCAATGCTGGTATAGTTTGTGCGTTTGTGTGATTGGTTGTTTAGTAATGTCTTTCTTGTTCATGTCGTCCATGTGTGCTTCCTTCCTTCTTTCCTTCCTCTATTCATGTGCTTGCCTGCTTGCTTGCTTGCTTGCTTGCTTGCTTGCTTGCTTGCTTGCTTGCTTGCTTGCTTGCTGCTGCTTGCTTGCTTGCTTGCTTGCTTGCTTGCTTGCTTGCTTGCTTGCTTGCTTGCTTGTTGCTTGCTTGCTTGCTTGCTTGCTTGCTTGCTTGCTTGCTTGCTTGTTTTTGGTTGTGTTTGCTTGCTTGTGTTGGTTGTGTTTGCTTGCTTGTGTTTCCTTGCTTGTGTTTGCTTGCTTGTGTTTGCTTGCTTGTGTTTCCTTGCTTGTGTTTCCTTGCTTGCTTGCTTGCTTGCTTGTTTGTTTGTTTGTTTGTTTGTTTGTTTGTTTGTTTGTTTGTTTGTTTGTTTGTTTGTTTGTTTGTTTGTTTGTTTGTTTGTTTGTTTGTTTGTTTGTTTGTTTGTGTGTTTGTTTGTTTGTGTGTTTGTTTGTTGGTGTGTTTTGGTTTGCTTGCTTTGATTGTTTGCTGTTTGTTCTGTTCTGTGCTTGTTTTTGTCTGTCTTTCTGTCTGGCTGTCTGTCTGTCTGGCTGTCTGTCCGCCTGTCTATTTGTTTGTTCTTTGTGTGTCGTTTGTTCTTGTGTTTGTGTGTGTGCTTGCGTGTTTGTCTCTGTGTACGTATGTGTTTGTGTGTGTGGTTGTGTGTGTGCTTGTGTGTGTGTGTGTTTGCTTTTGATGAGTCCAGAAAGACTGCCTTAAAAGGGAGGGGGCCCGGATTTGGCGCACGAAACCACCCGCATAGCCACTCGATTCTGTGGAATTTGTTCTATTTTCGGGCACCGCTCTTCAGCCCCCGGCCAAAACGGCCACTACGAAGCCACTTTCTCACTGGCCATCCGCGATCCCCGAACAGTCTCGTGCTTGAGTTACCTTCTTCTCTCCAGCGGGCAGACCAAAACGAAAGCGCCACGAAATCCCCACGCGCTGGAGCTGCAAAACCAAAACTGGGGTGTTCTTTGTCTTGATCGAAGGAATCAAGCACCCGCCGGCTTCTGCTTCGCATGCCGGGGAGTTGCGCGTTGGGAGCAATCCCCGCACGTAAAAATTAGGCGCGGCCTGAGAGAAAGTCCAAGGGGTCGCAGAAACCGACAGGACTCATGGGAACTTGTCCACAACCAACTTCAACAATACACAGCACAGTGCTGGAGTTCGTGCAGGCCCTCAGGCATCCAAAAACAGCCAAAAACAAACCTGGCAATGGGTTTGCCCACCCATGACTGCTTAATCTTTGTATTGCATGGGGTGTTGGAGGTGAAAAAAAGCAGCCGTTGGAGGGCGCTCCTCCAAGAAAACACTAATCCCTGCGCCCATGACCTGGCGCTAAGTGGGGCGCCGATCTTTTTGGAGCTCTGCGCGGGGTTCTCTTGAAACTCAGGGCGTACCCTTCGAAGACCCCTCCCTTTTTGCCAAGCTGGACATAAATTGGAACCCACTTCAGTGCAGAACTCTTTCCGGAAGTAATTATGTCCAACGGGAGGTCCTTGACTCAAGGGGTCCTCGGGGCGTCCCATGTTCATTTCCAAAAAGGGAAAGGCTCGAAAAGTCCCGCCGCGCTGATTCATTTGAGCACCCAAACCCAGTTCTACCAAAAAACTAGTTCTGCCGCTTCATGTAGGCGTTTACCATTTGTCTGGCAGAACCACTTCATATTGCCCATGGGGTCGCGGCGCTCATTTGTCCGGCAGGCTGGGGCTGCCGCTGGGCACTGGCGCGGACACCGGTTGGCCCACCACCATCGCGGGAGGCGCACTTCGCAGCACTGCGCCGCTGATGAGCAGCTGGTACTTTCCTGGGTCCCGCAACTGCGGTGCCGATTTTTTCAGTGGAGCCATCCAGAGAGCGCAGTGGGTTTTTTGGGCTTCAATCCCGACCCAGGTGGTGTTCGTTCAAAAACTCGGGCAAGGGCCACTTCTTTAAAGGGCCCCAATCCCAATTTTGCTTCTTTTGGGGAAGGCCCAATAAGGCCGACCAAGAAGTCTTTTGGGTAGCTCTTCTTTGAACAATTTCCACCGTGTTTCTTGAGAAACGCAGGATACCTCGGATACCTCTTGCGCCTGGCGTACAAAGTTACCTAGGCCACTTCAAAACCAAAAGTCACAATCATAAGGGAATGTGTGAATGATATACCGGCTGATATTCACCTGGTTCTCAGCGGAAAAGCACTCATGCGCCCAAATGATCCAACTAAGTGACAGCCAAGACAAACCTCAATGGCCGCGGTAAAAAGGCAAACAAACAAATGCCTCGAACCCACGCGAACAGCCTTTGTCAAGAAGGAAGCCCATGCATCAGCTCAGGCTTCAACCTGCGCCTATGCATGGAACACGTCCTCCCTTGAGACCGAAAACATACCCAATTAGCTATGGGTCGAGACAAAATCACACGCAAAACCAAATCAGGGAAAATGATCACGGAGCCCAAAGAAAGGAGCCTTCCACTCATTTCATCCAAGGACTTCCGAGCCGTCGCGCAACACCCAGAGACCCCCGGCGTCCATCGGCCTTTTCCCATAAGACGGGTTAGTAAGAAAACAAGGAGTATGAGCACTACCCGAACCCCATGCCATGCTTGATGTGGTTGTGTAACATGCTGTTGCAAAGTAAACAAATATGAAAAGCACATGGCCATGAGTTTAAGTACAGCCAAAGGAAGCAGGGTCCTCAGGATTTCCCTTCAAAAGATTGAATCTACGAGAGTTTAAGGAAAATGCGACCTGAGGGTCTAAACATAGGGGAAAATTGAGGCACCTGACAGAAAGCCTTGGATGAGAAGAAAGGACGGGTACAGGGTTTCAGGAATTGTGTAGAGTTTCTATAGCGACACTCCCAGTTCTAGGTGGAACTCCCACTATGCCTAGCAAAACGGACACTCGAAACAGCGCCCTAAGTTTGGTAGTACATGTCTGCAATTGCGTGGTGTGTAATCATGCAATTGTAGGTGTTGTTCGTTTGTGGGCAAGCATACCCATTAATGTGGATTGGCAGAAATGTACTTACGTACATCATCGCGTCGCGATGTGGCTTGTGCGAGTGTATAATTGTTTGTCAGTGTGTCTCCGCGTGCTGTCATGTGTCAATGAGCGTCACTGTGTGTTGCAGGGCTCAGACCATTTTAGCACATCAAAGGGTAGATCCGTGCCAGCCAAAATCTAACTTCAGGTGGCGCCATCGATATTACCTGCTGGAAGGTTCAAAGGAAGACACCCAAAAGTGATTTGAGAACTCCCAAATGTTCATTTTAAGGGACCCAGCACACAAGGATCGAATGCCTCCCAGCCTCGCCAGCCCAGGCAAACTCCGAGTAGTGCTAAGAGGATCCAGATCGGCGTCAGAATCAGCAATAGCCTCAGCAGGTTCCACCCAAGGGCTCCCTTTCTCCACTGGGCTGGGCGAAATGCTGATAGAATATATTTTACTCCCAGGAGGGTTGATCCTTGGCAAAGGTGGGGGTCTTTTTGGGCGTTCGTTCAGCAGGAAGCAACCAAAAACAAACACCCATTTGCGGCCAGTGGAGCGTTGAGACCCGATTGGACCGCTCCCAAATGAGCGGGTGGACCTTTTTGCGTGTGTTCTCTCCTTTAGAGGATGCTTTGCCGTGAGGCCGCCCCCTTTATTTGGCTAGACTCAGGACCACCGCAAAAGCTTGCCCTTTTCCTGAGTGAAATGCAGAATGAAGGAACCCCAATCGGGCCGTGTTAAGGGCAACAAGGTTTCAACGCTCAGTCTGACCATGTTGCAATAAGGAACCTTCATGCAGGCCAGCAGTCTCTGGAAGGGAGGTTGCGACTTGGTCGTCCTTTTTCAGGAGTTCCCCCCACCCTGAAAAAGAGCCCCAAAATGGGGGGGGGTCTTTAAAGGGAATCCCAAAAGGTGGGGTGGGGCGGGATGGGGTGGGGGTTCTTCAAAAGGGAAGCCCAAAATAGAGGGGGGCAGGTCTTTAAAGGGAAGCCCAAAATCAAAACGGAGGGGTGGGTGAAGGGGTGGGGGTGGGGGTTCTTTCAAGGAAACCCCCCCGCAGCACCAGCGACTCCCCCGCCTATGGATGGAGACTCTGGGCACCTCCTCCAGCGGCTGCCAGGGGAAGACCATGCGCACGGGCCCGTCCAGCAGCACGCTGCTCACCACGTGCCCCCCGAAGGCAAAGAGGAAGGGGTAGTCCAACAGCCGGGGGTTCTTCAGCGAGCCTCGGATCGAAGGAGAAAAAAAAAAGGCAAAACTGGGGAGGCAGGGGGTTTCTTCGGCAAAGACACCTGTTACCCAGTTGTAAACAAGGGCAAACACCACACTCGTTGAATGAACTTAACAAAGCGCAAACAAAAACAAGTACCATACATGAAAGACCTATAAAGCAACACAACACTCCCCTTTTCTTTGCGGGTGCCCACCCTTTCGTGTCCAGTCTCCAGAGAGGGCACAACGAAACCATTGCTGGAAGAGCCCCCGCAATCACAAAGACACCTTATGATTCTGTTTCATACGTTGCCCCTAAAATATGGAATGTGTATTGAAAGGGGAACCCACAAAATATGGTTCCCTTACCGACCTTGAGGGTACCAACTCCAAAAACCGCAAACCCATATTTAGCTAACCCCTCTAGACGAAAACCGCTCTGGCTTCCCTCTCTCAAAGGGAAACCAAAAGGAACACCGAAGCAATTTGGGGGGGGTTCCTCAACAAAAGACGACAAAAAAAAAAAACATTCGTTCCTCAAGCTGGTTCAGACAGGTTCTTATGGTTTGGTTTGGTTGGAGCACCTCTTGGTTTGGTCAGCGTCCTCCTTGGGTTGGACCCCCCCCCGGGTTTGGGGACCCCGCGCGACCGGCTCTTGGTCGGAGACCCCCCAAAGTTTTGGTTGGACGTCCCACTCGGCCCCGACGTCCCCGAAGTCCGAGGCTCACTCCCCACAGGGGCAGGGCTCCGGGACCTTCTCCATGTGCATGCCGCAGCAGCAGGGCGCGCAGCACCGGGAGGCCAAGGCGAAGAACCACACGGCCACCACGCCTGGGCTGGGCTTGTGGATGGGTGTGGGTTTTGGAGTCGCCTCTGGATGGGCTGGGATTTTGGGTGGCTTGGGTTTGGATGGATAAGTTTGGATGAATTTGGTGGACGGCGTGGATTTATTGTTGGGTTTGGAGTCGCCTCTGGATGGGCTGGGAGTTGGGGTGGCTTGGGTTTGGATGGGTTTGAGTGAACTTGCATTTGGTGGTTTTGGGTGGTTTGGGTTTGGATAAATTTAGATGAATCTAGAGATTAAGTTTGGATGGGGTGGTCTCACATTGGAGATTGGTACGGGTGGATGGAAATGGGGGGGTTCCCGTGGTCTACCGATCAGCCGTTCTGAAAGGGAGACGTGAATGGGTGTTGTTGCGCATGGGGAAAGGAACTCCTTCTGGGGCTTCGGCGTCAACTTGTCGCCGGACGGGTTCGGAAATCAGGAGCTGGGCTTCACGGTGGCCCGTCCCTTCGAACAAAACGCCGCTCAAAGGAACCGAAGCCCCCGGCCCCCGAACCGGGGAGTTGCCCTCGAGGCTTGGGGTTTTCCGGAAATGGGGCCGGGGCTTCCCCCTGACAAGCCTTGATGTTTCAAAGGGTTTGATCAGAGGTCAAAATACCTGACGCTCCCTTCCATTTCCTTGGGGTTGGGATCCATGGTGCCTTAAAAGCGTGCATGTCCAAAGGCGAAGCGTAGGAAACCGAAGCGCCTCAGAAAGCTCAGAAGGAACCTTCTGAGCACGTGCCTGCGCTGAGGGGCCAACAGGGCACCTTGCCCAGTTCCCTTGAAGAAACCTTGGCTTTTGCATATCCAGACATGAAAAAGGTGCCTTTGACCCAAGGGCAGCGCCTTGATAGAGGGGGACAGCCAAGTCTTCATTTCGAGTCACACAAGTGGAAACATCCAGGGGTCACCAGGCGCCCTCCGTGCAGCACTTTAAAAACATTGGTGGGTCCCAGATGTGGCTGTTGCCAGGCAGCAAAGTGTGGTCATGGCAGTGATGATGCGCAGCCTGGGGAAAGACTGGACGACCCTCATGAGATAAGGGGGAGAAGTTGGGTATGCGTGAAAATATCCCCCCCACCCCAAAACAAGAACAATATGTGGTGCTCCTTTTGGCCTACGTGTTCAACGCCGCAAAAGTGATACCTCAAAACACACAAACCCCGAGAATCATCATGATAACTCCGGCAAATTCGAAAGTGAAACCTGCAGCTTGGGTGAAACGGAGCACCAACGGAAAGGGCACATCGGATATCTTTGTTAGTTCCAAAAGGACACGCTCCTTTCTCGAGAGAAAAACAGAGAGAGGGAGGGGAGAGAGAGACAGAGAAGGGGAGAGAGAGAAAGAGAGAGAGAGAGAGAGAGAGAAAGAGAGAGAGACAGCGAGAGAGAGAGAGAGAGACACAGAGAGAGAGAGAGAGAGAGACAGAGAGAGAGAGAGAGAGAGAAAGCGAAAATGAGGGAGAGAGAGAGAGAGAGAGAGAAAGAAAGAGAGATGGAGAGCGACAGAGAGAGGCAACGAGAAGAGAGCGGGAGAGAGAAAGACAGAGATAGAGATAGAGAGAGAGAGAAAGAAAGATGGAGAGCGACAGAGAGAGGCAAAGAGAGCGGGAGAGAGAAAGACAGAGATAGAGAGAGAGAGAGAGAAAGAGAGAGAGAAAGAAAGAAAGATAGAGAGCGACAGAGAGAGGCAAAGAGAGCGGGAGAGAGAAAGACAGAGAGAGAGAGAGAGAAAGAGAGAGAGAAAGAAGGAGGGAGAGAGAGCGACAGAGAGAGGCAAAGAGAGCGGGAGAGAGAAAGACAGAGAGAGCGAGAGAGAGAGAGAGAGAAAAAGAGAGAGAGAAAGAAGGAGGGAGAGAGAGAGAGAGGAAGAGAAAGAGAGAGAAAGAGAGAGAGAGAGAAACAGAGAAAGACAGAGAGAGACAGAGAGAGACAGAGTGAGAGAGAGGGAGAGAGACAGAGAGAGAGAGAAAGAGAAAGACAGACAGACAGACAGAGAGAGAGAGAGAAGGAGAGAGAGAAGGAGAGAGAGAGGGAGAGGGCGAGACAAAATACGAGAGGGAGGGAGGGAGCATGAAAGAAAGGAAGGAAAGCAGGAAAGAAACAAAGAAACAAAAAAAAACACGAAAAAGAAAGGGATGCCAGTAGACAAACTGGGCAGCACATCCAGCTCGTCACCGTAGGGTATGCTCCTCTCGCTCTCCTGCGTGACGAGGCTCACGCCTCAGCTGGCTTTGGCAGGTCTTCCGAAAGGGGGAGCTGGGTCTAGGGGTGCGAAAACGCCTATTTTTCGGCCATGATCGAACATCACAACTATATACCAGTTGATTTGAAGGATGCCATTACAGCCCACGGTTTGGATGTATCGTTTCGGACCCTCGGGCCACAGAAAGCCGGCGCTACGTCTGAAGCAAGTTCTGCGCGCGCCTGTGCGGCGCTATCAGCGCATCAGCGGATGCAGCTCAATGGGCTACAAACGGGTGCAGACATGCGAGAATGTTGTGAAGGCACTCTTTTGCAGGTTTTGTGTGGTGGGTGGTTCCTTAAAGCATACAACTTACAACCTCTAAACCGGCTGATCTGTTCACTGGCCAACATGCCAAACTCCCCGCCAAACCCCTTGACGTACTTCCCGTCTTTTGCGAGGCGCAGAACTCGACGGCGAAGATCAAGGCGAACCAGGCGCAGGTCAAGACGTAGCCCATCTGGAGATTGGGACTCGACCCGATGGAGTCGCAGCCTCGAATTCAAACCGGCGAACCCGAAGCGGCGAACCCGAGATGCGATGCTGTCGGGACTTGGATCGTCGGAAGGCGGGCCAGTCTTGGCCGTCAGACCCCAGCCAAAATCAGAGGAGTCTCCTTGGGGATCCGCTTTGTGGGCTCCCGAAATCCCGCCAAAGCAACCTGAGAAGGGTCTCAAGAGATGCGTCAAGACTGGATCAGCAGCCTGTTCCTTTCGGAATCAACGTCACTCGCATCGCCCCTTGCCAGACATTCCACCGTTCAAATACAGGGGATGTCCCTTTGATTTGGGCCCTTTGATTCGGGGAATCTCCATTTCGTTCTTTCAAGGAACACCAAAAAAGTGTTCGACAAACAAAAAACACGGCACATGCAGAAAGACCCGACTCCGCCGAGAGACATGGCGGCGTGCACATGGGTTTCTGGCCCCGCCCGCCGCGGAGCCCATGCGCAGTCGCTAAGAGCCGAAGCGGTTTCCGCGGAGCAGCGGACTCCATAAGTTGAAGCGTCAACGCGTTTGCGTCAAGAAGGGACACTGAAGTGTTTGAAGGATCTTGCCACGGTCCAAAGGTTCAGCTTGCTGCACAGAAGCCATCTTGTAAATTACGCGCCCACTGTCTTCACGGGAAGAGTATACTTGCAGGCGTGGTCGCTCATACTGCCGAGCTTGCGCTATCAATTGTCAGCTGGAAGAGGAAGTATGAAGCGCTCCTTTCGAATAAGCAAACACAACTCTGCCGCTGCCAAAGTACCTCGCAACTCAGCAAGTTGGATTGAGTCAATTCAGCCTCGCAGAAACAATGAAGATGCCAACGTTTAGCTAGATTGACTCAGCACTGTAATGGTTTCTGTCTGCCTGACAGAAGACTCCGGTGTGGGGATCGAAATCGCGAGATGCGTTGCTCGACATAATAAATTATGAAAGAGTTCAACTCGCTGATATTGCTGAAGCTAGCCATCATTAGATGAACAAACCCTAGGCTTGAATGAGACCTTCACAAGCAACGCCTCGCGTGCATCCTGGCTCTTCCTGCACTTATCCGGCTGAAGCCTCTTGCACGGTGCAGATGACGAACACTCTCCAGCCTCTCTCACGAGCTATGCTCAAGGATCTTTCTGAATGTGGCGCAGTCTCATGCGACAGAAAACTCTCTGTGCTACGGAAACGTTGCTGGGGGGACATGCTCGGGCTTCCCTACCTCTGGTGGTGGCCCAGAAGAATCACCCCGGCAGATCTTTCTCTTTCTCTCTCTCTCTCTCTCTCTCTTGAATGCTTTATATCCTCAAAAGGCTGATGCATAGGCCAAGCTCGTTTCTGCGTCGTCCCTCCGCATGGTGGGCCGGGCTTACTTGTGCGCTCCCTCGAACTAGTGTGGACCGAGTTCTCTGCCCAAATAAGCTCCACCACGACTTGATATGGAACCCAAAGAAGGGCTCCTCAAAAAGCGCGGGGGCCTTCTGGGCTCCATGCCAATCTGCAGGGGAGCAAGTTGAACCGCCGACACCTTGCTGGGGCCCAGGCCCCAGTCATCCTCCTCATCGATGTAGGCTGTGATGGTCTGAGTCTTGCCCTTGTCTGCCACCTGGGACCGCACCCTCAGCGTCCCAGTCAGGCCCCTCCACCTGTGAAAGATCACCGGTTTGAACCAGGTAGGAGCATTCCCTCATGCTCGCATGGCACGGAAGCAAAAACGTCCCCAACTCTCAAGCCCGAACCCGACTCAGATATTATTGTAACTATAGCTGGACCCAAACCCAACAGTTTGAGCGCGCAACACACATTGCCCAAACAAATCCAGTGAGCCAGTGAGCATCGGCGCAGGCGTGGGGCTTGCCCCCTTCAAACAGGCTCAGTGCAGGCTCGCAAAGGTTCTATGACAATCCATCACTGGAGCACGTGGACTCGCTGGAATTCCGGCGCAAACAACATGATGGTCCTGAGTATAATAAATCACAACCTCCGATGCAGGAGCCAAAAAAGATCTGTCCAGAGCTGCGCCTGGTTGACGTGCTTGCCCTCCCGCCATGTCATATGCCCTTCTAAAGGAAAGCCAACAGCGCGCTTGAGCTCAACGCTTAAGCCCAACAACTTGTGTGGAAGAAAATCCAGCGACGCATGTTTCGTCTTGGACACGCTGCAAGAGCCCCGCCCTCATCGACAACAAGAAGCAACCAGGATGTGGAGAAAAGGAACACGACAAGAAACACCGGCAGCCAACTGTGGAAATTACAAACAAACATGCAAACTACAAAGCAAATCAAATCAAGCCAGCCAGCCCTAAGAAAACAAGTAATACGCGATCCACCTGCCGCCCTCTCCCCCCGCACCTGGAAGGTCTTCTTCTCGGTTTGCCAGCCGCGGCTCCAACCTGGTTTCACTTCCAAACGACATGAAACAGATCGTCCACCTTGCTTTGCAGGCCACCTTTGTCTGGGGTAAGCCCCAAAAATAGGCGTTGGCGTACAGTGTTGGAGTGCGCCTCTTTGGGGGTGGTCTGAAGAGAAACCCTTCTTGAGGCTGGTCCCAACCTGGTTTTGAGGGGTACCTCAATTTGAGTTGTCCTGGGGCACCCTTTGCCGATCTTCACGAACTTTCTGGGGGGTTGTTTTGAAGGGAAGGTCAAGGGAGACCGAAGCCAATGTTTGGGGCTTCACCCATATTTAACAAGGAACACATTAGTCATCCCCTGGTCGCATTAAAACTGCTTGCCTAAACAAGACACACCCAACAATGATCAGGTGGAGAAAATGATACTCCGGCTTTCATTTGCTTTAGAGGCTCGTTTGAGGGAAACAAGGAGGTTGCCCTCTTTTCTATCATGGGAGTGGAAGATCGCACGGGCTTTTGAAGAGAATCATAAAAAAAGAGCTGCCAACTTTCCTGGTTGTTGGAAAGAGGATGACCGAAACCAAACCGCTAGCTTTCCGCTTAGCAACACTGAACATTGTGTAAAACTAGCATGTTTGGACAATAACACACAGAAATCTGCGGTGTGGATCAATAAGTCTTTGGAAGAACATGGTCGAATAACCCCGCCAAAGGCTCAACGTTCTTCTGCCCATACGGGTTGCATCTTCAACCAAAAGGCTGAAGGGATACAAGCATAGGTGTCCAAGAGGAAAAATAGATGGCCCTGGTAAATCGACCTAACCCCATCGAAACCAGTGGAACCCATCCATTTTTACCCCAACCAACCCAAAAAGGACACCAATGGATACAGGCGAGATCAATGAGCAGCTGTCCAGCGAGCCAGCCCAAGCCTCCCCAGCCCCGAATGCCTCGCTTCGCGAAGTCGCTGTCCTCTTCGCAGCGGTAGCCTGGCGACGGCAGTCGGCTGGGATCTGGGCGAACTACTTCCCAGACCTCCAGTAGCCATGGGGGAAAAGAGGCCACGTTTTTTTTTTTCTGGGCTGTCCTCAGATGGAAATCCACACTAAACACTAAAAAGCTAAAAAGCTAAAAAGCTAAAAAGCTAAAAAGCTAAAAAGCTAAAAAGCTAAGGGGATAGCTGGGAGCCACCAAGTTTTGGTTGGTTGATCTCCATTGGCCCCTCCAAAGAAAAGTCGAAAGGACCCAAATGAAGCAACCCATTGGAGGTCTGGGACTATAAGTCTCAAATCGGAATAAGCGAAGCCTGGGCCCTTTGTCGGTGAGCTCGTTTCACCCAGCTACTTATAACTTGCCCAGATCAATTGTCACCCATCTGGCCGGGATCCCTCAGTTCTTGTGCTTCAGAGACAGGAAAGGGTAGCCGATAGGTAGGGCAACTATCCATCTTAACATTCTTAAAGCCGGTGCTTGTGGATCTGAATGATTTGGGGTGAGTCATGATCCTCTTGAGGTCTTGTCGGCTTCCGGGTCCCGGACCTGTCCAAAGGTTTCTTCTGCAAACCACCCCTTTGATCGTCATGTTCACCAACATGAGGGGAAACCTTCATGCCCGAGGTCGCAATTCCGCCAGTCTTCCATGGCCTGGGTGTTGCAACTAAGCTTGTCTCCGTCCCGTCAACAAACGCTGACTCTGGGGGATTTTCGTTTGAAAAGCAGCAGATAGGAGTCCCAAGAAACCCAAACAATTGCTCTTGATCTTTGTCCCATTCAAAGTAGCCTCCTCTATTCTCCTTTCAAACAAGACAAACTTTCTTGTCCGGACTGCCAACCCCCGTCTATGCGGAATGACACCTACCTGCTTGAAGTGCTTTGGGGTCGAGTCCCTTGGGTGTGGCTCAGAATTAAACAGCTGGGGTTGCGCAGGTTTGGTCTACCTTTCCATAGGTTCCATCTTGGACCCCTAATTTTTGAGCCACACCCACTTGCGGAGCTTACTTGTTGTTTTTCTGCATTTCCTATCTTTAGGTATCCCCAACGGGGGGGGGGGTACCTGTAGCTATAAGTGTCGGGATCTGTACGTAGAGATTTCAGCCCAAACTGCAACCAGTTGCTGTGCCTCACTGGCCCTGCTTGGTTTACTGTCCCAGCAACACACACATGGAGGTGCACAGAAATCTTTTGCAAAACGACATTTCCTTTTAGAATGGCGGTCTGCGCGCTTCTATGTTTGTTGGTGGCGGTGGCGGGGCGCCTGTCATCTGCACGACATCCTCGAGCCAGAATTGCTGCACCTCGGTGGGCCGCTTGCCGCTTTCTTTGGGGGGTTCGGTTCGGCTTCAGGGCTGCGGGGGACTTTTGAGGAAACCGTTCGGATTTTCGGGCTTTCCTCTGAAAAGCGTGCCCGTGGAACCTGGATTTACTTGATCTATAAACATCATGGCCCCCCAATGTTATGCTTCTAAACCACCAGAAAGGGGAAATATGGGGAACCCTTCCGCCCGGGCCAGCATGGAACCTGCGTCGGATCAATCGCTGAGCTCCCCAGTGATTCTCCAGAGGGCAAAGGAAGGCGGCAGAGGTAAAGTCTTCTGCAAAGTTGGCGGTGATTTCAGCTCGGCTTGCTTCTAAAACGAGGGCAGTTTTGAACACATCCACTGGCAACTTGGAGCATGAAAATAAATATCCCAGAAGCCCATACCAGCTGCTTGGAAGTGTTCGTGTCTGGTCAGAAACGGAACCAATTGAGACTAATAGGAAGAAGAGTGGAACCCACTTCACTAAATAACAGCTGGACTGTTCTCCAAATGCCTCCAACAAATTCGTTCGGATCTTTGGCTGCGGCGCATTTTGCGCTGTTGCACTTTTGCCAAGACGAAGGCACAAAAACCGCATGGGTGGCTGTTTAAGCTCGCCAAGGAGGTTTCCCCCAAAGCAAGTCACCAGGCTTTCCGACTAAGGACCTCCCAAAACAAACCGCCCGGCGCTCGATCTCTTCGGAGACCCCGGGCAGGGAAGGTTCGGCCGGGGATGGAGAGCACCGGCACAGAGCTGGCGCCTAAGTCCGCGTCGCGTGCCGGAGATTCAGTCCATTGGAATCCCAATCTGACTGCGGATCTAAGCAGAACCTCTGGCTGATGTTTTAAATTGGAGGAATCCGGATCACTTTTGGGGGCATGGTGGGAGGGGCTTTGCACGCGTGGGTTCCCATCACTACCTCCGCCCGCCCACCATGGAACCTGACCGAAAGCCCCTGAACGTTAGGCTCTTGAAGGGGCCTTCTGTCAGGATCTGTGTTAGTGGAGGGTGTGCCCAATCATGGAGCTCTGGTTGCACCCCAGCTGAGCACGTTGAAATTTATGCGGCGGAACAAAAGGCCCTTGAGACAATAACACTCTTTCAACGCCCTCCCTCCTCCTGTACCGATTGCAAAGCAAATGCCCCATCCATCCGGAATGCCCCGTCAATGCTGTTGCGGCCACCTTCTGCCGGACGTCTGCCGTGCCGCCCGACCACCCGGGCCCCCGGGCTGCCAAAGTACCTCACCAGCTTCTCTGTCTCCAAAGTCGCCTCATGGCCGGCCCAGTTTTCTCCCGAAAACGTCAGGGGCCCACTGTCTATTTGTACCAACTACTCCAAGAAGGAGAAGAAAGCTCAAACGCATGAGGCCTAACCCATGAAGGGAAATCCCCTGGCGAGTCAAATCCACTGAAGGCACACCCTGCAGAGGCCCCGGACGCTCATGAGAACTAGCCGGAGGTCAGGGCGGCTGGAGCGGGTGATTTGGCCTCGGGATTTGAGGTCAGCCTGAAAGAAACAAATCAACAGTAGCCAACAGAACCAAAGAACCAAAACACTACAAAATAACAAACACAAACCAACCTGACTTGGAGTTCAATTGATCCATAAACTTGAACTTTGATTGAAAAACCTGGGGGAATGCCAAATCGGGTTGGGAAGGTAGGACTAACAACATACCTGCCTGCTGCTGGGGCGCCTGCCTATGACAGAAAGGGAACTCATATCATTTTATGGGAAACTGGTCTAATGTTCTGTGAGGTCTTTAATCCAGTACATTTTTTTAGAAAAAATGATCCAGATTGGAGCAAAAAGGGTAAAAAGTCTTAGTATAAAAGGCTTAATCACCAGACCCTCGACAGCCACAAGGCGCGTAAGGGAAATCTCTTGAGAGTAGAAGCGGATTTTGGGATTTCAATTGGGGGTACCTTTTCCCAGAGTGGTCTGGAGCCCATCTAAAATCGGACAAACCCTTATGAAACAGCCAGCGGTGTACAGCTGCCGTGTTCCCATCACGTTAGTGAGCCGAATTTCGGGTTGCGTTTTTTCTATGGTTGTTAAAGGGCACAATGGGCTCTGCTTTTAAATGCCAAACAGGCACCCAATCCAAATGGACCCTACCGGTTTTGCTTTCTTTGCGCTTTTGTGCGCAACACCAATAGGTTTTGGTGGAAAGATGCAATGGATTTTATGCTGTTCTTTTTGGCTGAAAAAGGTGCCTCCCTTCTGGATGGAGATAAACCCGGGAACCGCAACAAACAAACCCGGTTGCCTAGTGGCCCTGCTATAAGAAGGAAACACTTTCTGCTTTTGTGGGTGTCCCACCCAACAAAAGGGGAAGTGTGCCACTGAACATCTGAACATCTTCAAAACTCTAATTGTGCAGCCCATTTATCCTGGACGACCTTCAGAACGTCGGGTCCTGTTTCTGGGCTTAGATCTTGGTGTAAAAACGGGTGTTCTGCTCTGGGGGGGTCCAAATGCAATATGTTTCACAACGTCCCTTGCAAGAATCTTGCTGGTGCTCATCAGGGAATGCGTGAATGAACCAGTGGATTCCCTTAACGGAAACCATAGGGGATGGTTTATAGGGGGCGTTCCCTCATTCCCTGCTGAGCACCAGCAAGCAATAGACCACTTCGCAAACAGGGCATCGCGGGGCCCCAGCTTGTTTCACACGCAAGTGAGATCGCTTTCAACGATGAGGACGTGTTATTGATAGATGCCCCCCCTTAAGTGGGACACACCCGCCCTCAAAAGACAAATGACGCCCTATACTATATATATATATACACATACATATATATATATATATATGCAGAATGTATTATCCGCCGACCCCTTCTCCTGAAAGGGGGAGGCGCACGGGAAGGGTGGTTACAGCACAAGTCCAAGGTGGGTTGGTAAATGAGCATATCCGAAGATTCAACAGTATCAGCGTAAGAAATACCGTCATCGTAGCATCCTTTGCGCCTCAAAGATGTGTCTTTCTACACCTTTCAAGTGTGGGGTTAGAAAGCATTGGTGATGCAGAGGATGCTACGATGATAGTTATTTTCCGAGCTACTATTATCGTTGTCATCCTTATCCTTCTCCTATCTGATCAGATCTGTGTCATATACGTTTCAAGCGTGCTGTTAGACCCGGTTGGAGATGCAGAGGATGCGTAGTGATGACGATAATGATGACGATGATGACGACGATGATGATGACGATGATGATGATGATGATGATGACGATAATGACCACCATCATGGTGATGATGACATGGTCATGCAGAGGGTGCGTAGTCATCATTATCCTCATGACTGTTAGTGATGCAGAGGATGCACGCGTAGTCATCATTATCATCATGACTGTTGGTGATGCAGAGGATGCACGATGATGGTTATCATCGATGATGATGACCGTGATGATGACGATGATGAGCGACGGCTATGATGAGGATCTTATCTTTATCTTTTTCATATACGATTCAAAAGTCCCGTTAGACCCGATTGGAGATGCAGAGGGTGCGTAGTCATCATTATCATGATGACTGTTGGTGATGCAGAGGATGCACGATGATGGTTATCATCGATGAGGATGCACGTTGACGGTTATCATCGATGATGATAACGGTGATGATGAGATTGGAGATGCAGAGGGTGCGTAGTCCCGTTAGACCCGATTGGAGATGCAGAGGGTGCGTAGTCATCATTATCATCATGACTGTTGGTGATGAAGAGGATGCACGATGATGGTTATCATCGATGATGATGACCGTGATGATGACGATGATGAGCGACGGCTATGATGAGGATCCTTATCTTTATCTTTTTCATATACGATTCAAAAGTCCCGTTAGACCCGATTGGAGATGCAGAGGGTGCGTAGTCATCATTATCATGATGACTGTTGGTGATGCAGAGGATGCACGATGATGGTTATCATCGATGAGGATGCACGATGATGGTTATCATCGATGATGATAACGGTGATGATGAGATTGGAGACGCAGAGGGTGCGTAGTCATCATTATCATCATGACTGTTGGTGATGCAGAGGATGCACGCGTAGTCATCATTATTATCATCATGACTGTTGGTGATGCAGAGGAAGCACGATGATGGTTATCATCGATGATGATGACGTGATGATGACGATGATGAGCGACGGCTCTTTATGTTTTTCATATACGATTCAAAAGTCCCGTTAGACCCGATTGGAGATGCAGAGGGTGCGTAGTCATCATTATCATCTGTTGGTGATGCAGAGGATGCACGATGATGGTTATCATCGGTGATGACTGTTGGTGCTAGCATGAGATGCAGAGCACGCGTAGTGATGACTGTTGGTCATGCACGATGATGATGATGACCGTGATGATGACGATGATGAGCGACGGCTATGATGAGGATTTATCTTTTTCATATACGATTCAAAAGTCCCGTTAGACCCGATTGGAGATGCAGAGGGTGCGTAGTCATCATTATCATGATGACTGTTGGTGATGCAGAGGATGCACGATGATGGTTATCATCGATCGGTGATGCTAACGGTGATGATGAGATTGGAGATGCAGAGGGTGCGTAGTCATCATTATCATCATGACTGTTGGCGATGCAGAGGATGCACGCGTAGTCATCGTTATCATCATGACTGTTGGTGATGCAGAGGATGCACGATGATGGTTATCATCGTGATGATGACGTGTATGAGTGATGCATGAGGGGATCAAAGCACGCGTGGTCATGCACGATATGGTTATCATCGATGATGATATCACGATGATGATTGGATGATGCAGAGGGATAGTCATCATTATCATCATGACGATGGATGAGTTATCATGCAGAGGATGATGATGGATACATCGATGACGTGATGACGATGATGAGCGACGGCTATGATGAGGATCCTTATCTTTATGTTTTTCATATACGATTCAAAAGTCCCGTTAGACCCGATTGGAGATGCAGAGGGTGCGTAGTCATCATTATCATGATGACTGTTGGTGATGCAGAGGATGCACGATGATGGTTATCATCGGTGATGATAACGGTGATGATGAGATTGGAGATGCAGAGGGTGCGTAGTCATCATTATCATCATGACTGTTGGTGATGCAGAGGATGCACGCGTAGTCATCATTGTCATCATGACTGTGTGGTGATGCAGAGGATGCACGATGATGGTTATCATCGATGATGATGACCGTGATGATGACGATGATGAGCGACGGCTCTTTATGTTTTTCATATACGATTCAAAAGTATCGTTAGACCTGATTGGAGATGCAGAGGGTGCGTAGTCATGATTATCATGATGACTGTTGGTGTTGCAGAGGATGCACGATGAAAGATAAGGATCCTCATCATAGCCGTCGCTCATCATCGTCATCATCACGGTCATCATCATCGATGATAACCATCATCGTGCATCCTCTGCATCACCAACAGTCATGATGATAATGAAACAGTCATGATGATAATGATGACTACGCACCCTCTGCATCTCCAATCTCATCATCACCGTTATCATCACCGATGATAACCATTATGTTTTTTATATACGATTCAAATGGAGACGCAGAGGGTGCGTAGTCATCATTATCATCATGACTGTTGGTGATGCAGAGGATGCACGCGTAGTCATCATTATCATCATGACTGTTGGTGATGCAGAGGATGCACGATGATGGTTATCATCGATGATGATGACCGTGATGATGACGATGCTGAGCGACGGCTCTTTATGTTTTTCATATACGATTCAAAAGTCCCGTAGACCTGATTGGAGATGCAGAGGGTGCGTAGTCATCATTATCATGATGACTGTTGGTGATGCAGAGGATGCACGATAATGGTTATCATCGGTGATGATAACTGATGAGATTGGAGATGCAGAGGGTGCGTAGTCATTGTTGATGCACGCGTGCCCGAAGACTGTACCAAAGCCACAGCCCGAAGGCTGTGGCAGCCACAGCCCGAAAGCTGTGGCAGATACAGCCCGAAGACTGTACCAAAGCCACAGCCCGAAGGCTGCGGCAGCCACAGCCCGAAAGCTGTGGCAGATACAGCCCGAAGACTGTACCAACGCCACAGCCCGAAGGCTGTGGCAGCCACAGCCGGAAAGCTGTGGCAGATACAGCCCGAAGATACATACATACATACATACATACATACATACATACATACATACATACATACATACATACATACATACATACATACATACATACATACATACATTACATTACATACATACATACATACATACATACATACATACATACATACATACATACATACATACATACACATACATACATACATACATACATACATACATACACACATACATACATACATACATACATACATACATACATACATACATACACATACATACATACATACATACATACATACATACATACATACATACATACATACATACATACATACATACATACATACATACATACATACATACATACATACATACATACATACATACATACATACATACATACATACATACATACATACATACATACATACATACATACATACATACATACATACATACATACATACATACATACATACATACATACATACATACATACATACATACATACATACATACATACATACATACATACATACATACATACATACATACATACATACATACATACATACATACATACATACATACATACATACATACATACATACATACATACATACATACATACATACATACATACATACATACATACATACATACATACATACATACATACATACATACATACATACATACATACATACATACATACATACACATACATACATACATACATACATACATACATACATACATACATACATACATACATACATACATACATACATACATACATACATACATACATTACATACATACATACATACATACATACATACATACATACATACATACATACATACATACATACATACATACATACATACATACATACATACATACATACATACATACATACATACATACATACATACATACATACATACATACATACATACATACATACATACATACATACATACATACATACATACATACATACATACATACATACATACATACATACATACATACATACATACATACATACATACATACATACATACATACATACATACATACATACATACATACATACATACATACATACATACATACATACATACATACATACATACATACATACATACATACATACATACATACATACATACATACATACATACATACATACATACATACATACATACATACATACATACATACATACATACATACATACATACATACATACATACATACATACATACATACATACATACATACATACATACATACATACATACATACATACATACATACATACATACATACATACATACATACATACATACATACATACATACATACATACATACATACATACATACATACATACATACATACATACATACATACATACATACATACATACATACATACATACATACATACATACATACATACATACATACATACATTACATGCATGCATACATACATGTACATACATACATATACATACGTACATGCATACATATACGTACATACATACACATACATACATTACAGACATAGATACATACATACATACATACATACATACATACATACATACATACATACATACATACATACACACAACATACATGCATGCATACATACATACTAACATGCAAACATGCATACATACATGCATACATACATACATACGTACATACATACATGCATGCATGCATGCATACCTGCATACATACATACAGACTTACACGATTTTTTGTGGGGTCGGCGGCACTGGGCGGCAGCCCTTAAATATCATAGCGTTCCTTCTTTTCATTTATTCCGAGTAGATACCCAGTGCGACCCGCTGGCCCCTCTCAAGGCTTCCGGCGCAGCAGCAGGAGGAGCAAGTCGCAATCCGCCGAGCGCCTGAGACCGGCGATCGGAATTGTCAGAATTGTCGCCGTGGGACGTGGCCACCGGCTCTGGTGAGTCAGCCGAAACCATCGTAATGGGTGGGGAGGGGGTTCTGACACTGGCGGGACTGCTGGCTGAAAAGCATGAAAATGACTTGCATCCCCCTGTCTTGTTCCCTTGAGGGTTCGGACCCCCATTTTATTGAAATAAAACGGGGGGGCTAACCTTTTTCCCAAAAATAAAATACAATGGGTGTCGGGAAAGAGGTCGCAAACTGAAATGGCCACGGGGCTGCCCCCAAAGGCCAACCCCTTTGGCCGGGCCTAAAATCTTCAGGGGCTAACCTTTCCCAAGCCTTACTCTCAGATTCACAGTACTTAATGTTAGCCTTGCCAATTCTATACTTAGTATTGCCAAGACGCCTAGTTTAGCATTGCTTGTTCTCGATTGAAGATTTCCGAGGCGTATTCTCAGATTCCCAGTACTTAATTCAGTAATGCAAATTCTAAATCGAGACCTGCCAAACTATAGTCTGAGATTCTCACTACTTAATTTAGTACTGCCACTGTTAGTATAGCCAAGACTTGCTCTCAGATTCCCAACGCTTAAGAAAAGATAGCCAAGACTTTCAATTTGAAATTGAGTATTGCCAATCACCCAAACAAGTTTGACATTAAAGCGAACCACGAAACAGTCAGAACCACAAAACAATCAGATTCAACAGAATCAGGGCTTCCTTGCCCGGAATTGTTTGCCCGGATGGTTGTGTTATGCTGGCCCATGTTTTGTGCCCTTTAAGCGACCCCAATTACAAAAGCGTGTTCCACATCAGTGGTAATGGCAATAAGGGAATCTGGTAATTCTAGATCCCGAAACTGCCAAGATTTACAAGATTTAGTACTGCCAATACTTTACCCTAAATTCCTAAAACTAAATTCAGCGCTGCCAATACTAAACTTAGTATTGAAAATACTGAATCTTAGGTTCACAATGCTAAATTCAGTATTGCAATTGTAAACCTATAATTACCAATACTGAATCTTGCCAATACGCAATCTCTAATCCCTATGTTCGCCCAGGTTGCCAAGAACATGTGGGGTCACTATGACGAAGCACACGCAAAAAAATACATGACTCACTTGACCGAAAATAAAATGGCTCCCTTGATCGAAAATGAAATGGTAGGACCTAGCCCCCAAACCCAGAAGTCTGTACTAAACTATTTGGGGCTTGGGCTAGCCTCAAAGGCGCAAATAAAAAGGGGTCGACACAAAATAAAATGAGGGTGCTAACCTACTCAGCCGAAAACCAGCCACTGAAAGTATTCAAGGTTTCAGGGTGGTAACCCCCCCCCCATTAAAGTACAAACACGTCAGGGGGATCTTGCTTTAAGGCATCTGTCATGCTTTCCAGACCCATGCTCTCCTCAAGCCTCTGAAGCAAAAGCCAAGACCTGTTCACTGAAGCAATTCTTGGTTGGGAGCTGCACCTTCAGGTCTGTCTCACGCCTCCCGCCAAACGAGCAGTGCAACCCCCCCCCCCCCAATTAGCCGCCGGCCGGCAAGACAGGAATATGTTCTACACGCCCACAAAAAATGCCGTCCACTTTTGCCATGGAACCAAAACAAAAGGGGCCTCCCTCCTTTAGACGGCTCCCCAGACTCTGCAAAAGCACTCTGACCAACAGGGTGCGCAGGGCAGAAAGGACAAATCCCCTCTGCAATGGGACACCCCCTATCCATCAACCAATGGTCCCAATCATTGGCTCCTCAAATTATGATAAGAGATGTCTCAACATCACATGGCTGATTTTGAAGTCATGAGACAGCCGCGGAAAAAAAAAAAAAAAAAAAAAAACTAGGTTCAGAAGGAGCAGTGGGGCATTGCCCAAAGAAGGGGTCACCCAGGTCCTAAACACGGCCGGGTTGATAACCCTTTCTGAACAAATCCCTCCCAATTTTTCCTGGGACTGTGAACCGTGGGGAATCGACCTGAGTGTTGGACTCGTGGATCTCGTCAATGAAGATGTGAGTCACCTGGGGCAAAGCTGCTGCCAGTCGGGTCACAACATCTGAATCATGACTTCAAGACTGAACCCTGAAATGTGGCTGTGTGTCAAATCTCGGGACGCTTCTTGGAAAGGTTTTCGGAAACAATGACACCACCAATCTGTCTTGCTGGTGCTTGAAACCTCTTGACACCCTTCCGATCTGGTGCATTTTTCATCCACCTCCTTTGCATTTGAGTCTCCCTCAGAGAACCAAGCCCCCATCGTTTACGCCCCGTTGATTCCTCTAAACGCGCTCAGTTGTAAACACAAAACCCCTGTTTCAACCCACACCGAAGCGGCCCTTCGGCCCAAGAAACGAGCCCTTCGACTCGCGCCTTGCCCAGAGCACCCAAGCCCTGCTGCATCTGCTTCAGGAGCACCCCCACCTGACCGATAAAGAACATTCGACCACAAGCTGAGAGGGGACTTCTCAAACCAATAGTTAGTCGCTCGTTGCTTGTTGCTCATATTTTTGGTGGGTCAAAAAATGAAATTCGGGGAAAAGATGGAAATGCATCGAATTCACTTTTGGCTTGACAACCCCAACAAGGGTATCAACCTTAAACCATGGTCACAATCATGGTTGTTGTTGTTGTTGTGGTTGTTTTTGCTAGCCCTGGCGCTTTACTGGCCCGGCTCCACTAAACAGGTTGGCTAGGAACCCTTGCTTCACCCCTGAGTTGGGGGCCTGGTTGGCCAGGGTTGGCCGCATACGCCTCGTGCCTGTGGGCTGATTTGGAGGCAGGTCTCAGGTGTGTTTGGAGATCATTCAGGATCGGCAAAGATGATGGCTTAGGTTTATACACCATGCTTCCAGTGGATGACATGTCAAATCAAACCCTAGTATTCAAGGCATGTATGCAATGCAAGAGCCTCATCAAGAGAGCTGCGTAGTGTTCCTCCTAACCTGATGGACCAAGCCACGACGACCAACTTGCTTCAACTCGGCGTTCCCAAAGTGATGACTACTCTGACCCCTCACATTGGATTTTTGGGTCGGGCTGCCTTGGACCTTCACAATTGGACACCGAAAGGTACTGCTCAAAGCAGGCAAAACCGGTTGCACAGCACCGAAACCAGGCCATGGCTGGGTTCCTTCCTGCCCCAACGGCCCCTGGCCACGACTCCGAAGTTGTGTTGCTTGTTTTTAAAGGAGCCCACCCAGTCACCGGGACGTGTTTGAGGCAGCCACGGGACAGCTTGAGCGGACCGGACCGGGTACCCGTCCAAAAAAAGGCCCAAACAACGGATTTATCCAAAAAGCAACAAACAAACAACCAAACAAAAACAAAAAAGAAGAAGAAAAAAAACGGATTTGCGCCCCACTGGAAACCCACTGGAAACCCGCTGGACACCTGGGATTTTGAGACCCCCCCCCCGTTTCGAATCCGAATCCGAACCCCCCGGTTCCGGGCCGTGCAGAAGAGCAAGCGGGTGGACTTGGAGACCTCGAGAGGAGCGGATCGGTGCGGCTGGAGTCACCGATTTGAGTTAGGGGGGTTGAAGGGTTGAAGGGGGGGTTGCGGCGCGGCGGTTCCGAGTTGGCTTCTAGGGATGCATTTCCAAGGAAGCTTCTTTACCCTTCAAACATGGGGCCACCCCCGCCTTTTTGGATACCACCAAGGGGGTATATCTAAGCTGTGGCTCAAAATTAAAGAGCCAGGGTTGCGCAGGTCTTAGTCTTTGGTTCCATTTGCCAAGGTGCCATGTTGGTACGTGTTCTTGAGTCATTGCCATATCAGACACATCCCAAAGAATATCAGGAAAAAAAGTTAAGAAAGGAAGATGGGAATATTGGAAAAGAAGCTAGTTGATTCCCACTATGCAGCCTCCCACAGCATCTTTTAAACACACGCCCAAGTTCTGTGTCTCTCCTTTCTTTAGGGTCGACCTTTTTGAGGGTTGGAGGGAAACCAATCTGGGATTCTCCAAGTTGGAGGCAAACCCACTTGCGGCCCCATTTGCGTACCGCACATTTATATATATATATATATATGTACACATAAACAACATGGTTTGTCCTTGCAGCTTTCTTGCTTCTCCAAGTGGGGAGCTAAAGAACTTCATCGTTGCCCAAAACCCCGTACTCTTGTCTGCTACATGGCTGCCAACATCAGGGGGGTCGCCAAACCGGGCACCTGGTCGTCTGTCTCATTTCGCGCAGCCATCACGTTGCATGGATGGGGGTACATAAGGGGTTCAGTCTCCATGCGGTGAAGACTCTCCTGCCCAACTTCTTGATTTGGGGAACATGTCAGAGAACAGTTTTGCGGAATCTTTCACGCAGAAATTATCCTAAGTAAGACATCTGAATCTAGACCAATTTGCATGTTAGCTCCTTGGCAAGTGAGAACATAAGACAACATGAGCTGCTCATGTGCTCAATTACTTGTGGACAACTCAACCCGTATTTCAAGCTCGAAGCCATGACACTATAGTACCCATACTCCTTATCTGAAACAATTGGACTCACATGGCATGGGTATGTCAAAAGGGACACCACCCATTTTGGCGGTCCTCCATTTAGAGCCACACCCACTTGGACATGATGGTCATTTGGGTACTGTCATGGACATAGCCTACGACGAAAAGTGTAGGGACCGGACCGCCAGCCCTTTTGAGGGCGTTACGGCCAGCTTGCGGTTGGCCAACTCCAATCTCAAAAGTTGAATAGCATAGCCTCTACATAACTCAAACCCTCCAAATTGATGGCCCGAGTGCATTTCACCAAGTCACCCCCACCCCCCAATATGTACATATATATATTATAACTGCCATACTCATCGCTTTTGACTAACTCAAAACCACAAAGCTTATGGCCATATTGCTTTTGGCTGTCTCAAACCCCAAAATTAGCCCAACAAAATGCCATAGTGCTGTTAACCAACTCAAGCCACACAGGATTCCTAGCCAAACTGCAAACCACATACCCCACGCGTGCCGAACGGATCTCGGAAGGTGCCTGGCCTTCTTCTCCAGCCGGATCTGGTAGCCCACCAGTGCATCCTTGGAGCCTGGCCCATCTGGGTCCTCAGCGGTCATCCCCGGTGGCTCGGGAGGGGGGTTGGTGGGGAGTTGGTGGGGGGTTGGTGGGGGGTTGGTGGGGGGTTGGTGGGGGGTTGGTGGGGGGTTGGTGGGGGGTTGGTGGGGGGTTTGTGGGGGGTTGGTGGGTTGATGGTTGGGGGAAAAAAAAGGCGTCTCTGTGATCCCAGAGATCCCTTGTATGTGAGGGTCTGGCTGCAAAACAGGATCAGCAAAAGAAACCATCCCCTTTTGGCATCCTGGAGACTTCAAACAATATGTGATGCTAGCACCCAGGGCTTTAAAGCGACAGGATCTGTTTGGGGTTACCTTAGGGAAACTGAAAGGAATCCGGGCCCCAGTCTACATGTTGGCAGTCTTGAGACAACTGTAGGATGGTTCCCCTGTTCATCAATCAAGGGTTCATATCAATCATGGGTTCCCCTTATTTGGGCGTGCATTTTCGAGGGAGCCCTTTCTCAGGTAGGTTTCAAGGGAAACCAAAGTGGAAACCCAAGTCATATTTGGGGGGCACCCCGAGATTGATCACAAGGCGGCACCAGGTGAGCGAACTAACCGTTTGACCATTTGGAAAATGAGTCCCTTGGCCCCTTGCCAGGAAACTGGTCCCACCAAAACTTGGAGGTGAACCTGAGGGCCGTTCCCATAGGTTCACAAGAAGGATTTTTGATTCGAGCAACGAGTGCACCACAGACGGCCATTGCCCCCCCCCCTTTTTGGGCCACTCCCGGTGCACCGGGGACCCCCGGCGCCCATCTCCTGCGACACCCGCTTGGCCACCGACACCTCGGAAATTGCCACCGGCACCGCGCGTGAGGTGAGCAACGCATGGCAGAGGGAGTCCTTTTGGCCCAACTGGTTAGGCAAGGGGCAAGGGGAAAGGGGTGCTGACATGGTTAAAAAAACACGCCTCAAATAGATTTAGGGGAAGCCGAAAGGAAAACCACCCTGAGCAGGGCTTCCAAGGTAAACATGCAAGTAGCAAAGGGCCCTCGGAAAAGAAGCGGCTTTCCTTTGAGTAATGTCTGGTAGCGCTATCCCCACATCGTCGTCGATTGATGACATCCCTGCATGAGTTTGTACATATGGACGCCAACAAATAGGTTCTCCTCACAATCAAGATTGAACTAGGAAGTAGCCTGAGGCTGAATACCCAACCGCGGTTGAGTTGGAATTCATCGATTTCCGACGAAAAACAAAACCACCTGCGGATGACTCGCAACAGATTCCATCCGACCATTGCCAATCCAAACGTACCTCCGCCTCCAAGGGGACTCTACTTTGTCAAAGACCCGAGATGTAGTTCTCTGAAAAACTGACCAACACAGATCCTGCACAGCCACGAATGAGTCAGGGGAGCAGTGGCTGATATCGCTTGGAGTGTCTTTGCGAGGATGAATGTTGGTTTAAAGGGAACGCAAGTTGGACACCACACGTTTATATACGAGATCCATGCCCTAAAACTGGGCTATGTTGCTTTGGGGCCGTCCCTCAGTAGACAAACCCATGGAGCCCGTGGGCTGACCTCTCCTTTGGTGCGGCTCGTCTGAAACGGCGACCGCGGCTTGTTTCAAACCATCCGCAGTGTGCCCAAACGTCTTGTCTTGGGGCACCAAAAGAACCCAGCCCAACAACACAGTATACAGGGAAGCCAGTAGAAGCATTGAGGGGTAAAGCAAGATCAATCGCTCTCCCGCCAACAAACATGGAAGGTGAGACACCTACCTTCCTTTTTGAAGTAGTCCAAAATGAGATCTCTGTAAATCCATGTTTGAGAAGGTAAGGTTCAGCCTCCTCACAAAACAAGATATCGTGCTTCCCTCTGAAAGCTCATTATCCATAGTCATATAAATATAACTATCTTGGGATTTTAACCCATGGCCTCCTCTGCGGACCAATTTTGGGATATAAACCCATAATCTCTCAACTGCTGAGTGTGGTCAGAAATCGTCCCAAAGTCGAAAGTGAAATGAGCTCTCAGGGCCTTGGGGCCTCGCTGGCAACAAAGCCATCCCTGGCGCTCCGGAAAACGCTCCTTTTCGGGTGCCGGCGCCCTAGAAAATCCTGGCCAGGGGCCTGAAGTCCGGTCTCCTAGTGCATCCTTCCTGGGCTAAGGTGAAGAAGGCACAAGAAGAAGAAGAAGAAGCAAACAAGTGCCACCAACTCCCCGAATTAAGCAGTACACCCAGGAGACTGAAACCAGAATCCCTTCCACAAGTTGAAACCACCTGCCAGCCCGCAGCTTCGCATGGGCGATGGAAGCACTCGCTCTCACCCGGCAGCTGGAGCCTGAACGGAGTCTGTTCAAAAGCAGACTCATCACCAATCATCTTCAAAGAAAAAATTGGCAAATCCTAAGTGGATTCAAGAGTTGGCCAACCGATGTTCAAGATTGCCTTGGCTCTATCAAACCCCACTGGGGGGTTGCCAATCTGGTGCTTGGAGAAGACAGTAGGAGATCTACATTTCTGGGTGGAGCCCTTTGTCCAACAAGAAAATTCAGGTGTCAGAGAGTGGGGCTAGACTGTTCTGCTGTAGCTGCATCCAAACAGGCGATTCGGTTTCACCGCACCATGTTCCTTATCGGCCCTGCTTTACCCCCAATCAAGTGAGCTATCAATTTTGTTCAAGACCAACATGGATGACCCGGCCAGTCGAGTCCATAGAGGCTCAACTGTGGCCCTGGAGTCTATCTTGCGACCTCTCCTTTCAAGGGGCTTGGGTGCATAGCGATTGCCCCCGCCTTGGAGGTCGGGGAGGGCCGCTGCCGTGGGCTTCTCGTGTTCCTCGGAGGTCGAGAAGGTCCAAGGGGCCTCGGTGGAGCCAAACACATGCGCGGTGTCTGTCTGGTTCGCTTCTGCTCTTTGGGGAGCTCGAGACATGAAACCCACCCAACCCACACCCAAAATCCACACCCAAAATCCACACCCAAAATCCACACCCAAACCAACTAAAGCCTCCCAAATCCATCCCGAATCCCCAACGCGCACAACACCCACCAAACATCTGGCGAGCTTCAACCCGTGGTTCACCAGAAGCGTTTGCCGCGTTGCTTCAACTCTTGGGAACCACAAACAAACACCGAGAGCAATCCACCCGGAGAATGCATGCAATCTCCACCCCCAAGTCCGCACACAAACCCACCGAACCCGAACCAACACCCGAACTCCAAAACCGCCCATGCGAAACAAACTGAAAACCCGCAAAATCCCACAACATCCACCCAAAACCTACAAATACCACCCAAAACCCACAACACCACCCAAAACCCACAATACCACCCAAAACCCACAAATACCACCCAAAAAAAACCAAACCCGGCCAAAAATATACACAAACTCCGAGTCTTGAGCTCCCGCCTCACACTTTCAGCAGCGCCAGGCTCTCCGCGCGGCACCAGGAGGTCGGCACCCGCAACGCCGCCGCCTGCAGCAGGCCCTCGGCGTCATCTTGGGGCCCGTAGCCTCGCGAGTCGTCACAAGGCCCGGCGATGGTTCGGGGGAGCTGGGAAAACGGTTGGCGTTATCTTTATCTTTAAAGGGTCATAGGTCTGACAAAATTGGTGTGGCTTTGCCACTTTGAGGGGTCTGTTCTCCAGGTTGTTGTTTCTTCCTCAGAATGTTGGTTAGTGGGAGCTGTTTGTTGTGAAAGGGGGGACTTCTCTTACTGATGAGTAGTGTGGGTTTGGCACTTTGAGGGTCTGTTCAAAGGGTGGATCTGTTGATTAGTGGGAATTGGTGTTCTCTTTGTCTTCCAAAGGGTCTGTTGGTTGGTGGGAGCTGTTTGTTTTCACTTTTTCACGAAGGGTCGGTTTCAACATGGGGACCCCCCCTTTGGATGGCCAAAGGCACAAACAACACAGAAAGAAAACCGGGTCAAACATCTTTGCACACAACCAGAGCCTGGCCGATGTTTGGAACCTCCCAAACGGGCTCCATGATGAAATGCCATTCCCATTGATGCATCAACAAGTGGACCCAACGCTGCTTTCGGGTGTCCAGTCCAGGAGAACGTGTGATCGGCCGGGGGGGGGAGGGGGTGATGCAGGGGTGGCATGCTCGCGCCTCGATCGCCATGCGTTTCTGCAAACCATGTCACTTGCCCAAAGTGCCCTGAAATCAAAGGGCTCTATGTTTGCTATTCTCAAACGGGATGTGGAACCTCAAAAAGGGGCGGTGGTTTTCGTCTGGCGTTCATTCAACACAAAAAGCAAGAGAGGCACCAAAACTCCAAAACTTCTAGACGCACCTTCCTCGCTATCTTCAAAAAACCTTTTCTTCAAAACAATACCCCAGAGAACAACTGTGGCTTTTGAAAGACAATGGACAACGGGAATCAAGCCTCGGAAAATCTGGACAGGCCCCCCCCAGTTCCGGAGAGGAATCCCCTTGGGAGACCGAAAAAAATGGGACATGCAAACTTCAAAACTGGACAAACCCAGCTCTGGAAACCCAAATGAGTGATCAACACGTGCATATCAACACCTGCTTTGCAGCTTCCCGGGTTGGGCATAAGAACTCTAAAAAATGGGCGGTTCCAGGAAACCCAAAGCAGATTGTTTGTTTGCAGTGGCCTAACAGACATCTGCAACAACTCAAGCCAAACATTTTTGCTGTTTCTCTTTTTCTCTGGGGTGTCAAGAGCGTGACAATGAGTCAATGAGTCAATGAACAACTCAGCTACCAAAAAGTTGCAGTTTTTCCTAGGGTGTCAAGGGCAAATGAGTCAATGAGTCAATGAGTCACTTAAGCCAATTGTTAAACGCCCCGAAGGTGAATCGCATGAGTTACTTAAGCCAGTGGTTTCCTTCTGTTTGGATAAGACCCCTGAAAATATATATATATATACACACATATTTCCAGTAGTGATAGATTCCCTTTAGAACCAGGAATGAAAGTTTCGCCCCGAAGGTGAATCGCATGAGTCTCTTCAGCCAATAGTTTCAAGAAGTTGGTCGGTTGGTTGGTGCACAAGTTGAACCGCCCGCCCCGGTGAGTGGAATCATCGCAGAGCCGCTCACCACCAGCGAGCCCGGCGCCAGCTCTTTGGCGGCCCGGAGCTTCACGACGCGCCGCAGCTCCGGCGGCCACACCTGGGGAAAGGGTGGGGCTGGGGCTGGGTGGCCCCCTTTTGGAGCTTAGAAAATCGGGGAGAAAAGTTGGATGACCCAACTTTGGGAGTTGATTTTCAGGGAGGGGGAAGGAACACCGTTTTGGAGTTGATTTTAGGGAGGGAGAGAAGGAAACCTCTCTCAGCCACTTTGAATTTTAGGCTTACGCCGTGAAAGATTGGGACCCGTTTTGGGGTTGCGGCTGTGGGGTGGGACTTCAAGGGTTCGGGGTACGGGGCTTTGGGCTTTGGCTTTGTTTTTCTGGAATTTGGGTTGGGTTTGAGGGGCTTGGATTCTTTAGTTCTCTTTTAGGCCTTTGTCTTGGGCTTCTCATGGTTTAAAAGACGGCAAGAGAAGCATCACGTGTCTGTTAGTTTTTCAACATCTGATGCAGCTTCAGCGTGTTGTCATCAAATGTGGCGTTCTGTTGGACATCTGGGTCTGCAACTTGTTCAAAGGGTCCCACATTGGATTGGGGGTTCAGCGGTTGACGGGGTTGAAGCTTGAGGAGAGGATCGGCCTGATTGAGGGGTTGCGGGGCATAGCATACATGTACTGTGGCCCATGTCATTCCCGTTGTTAACCTATACTCTTCACCACCTGACCCAGCATTTAAGCATTTGTTAAACATGGGTTGGAATTCCAATCCCTTGACCCCGATTGGGCAACAACTATC